TCAGGGCCGTGCTAAGAAGGGGAGAGAGGGCCTATCACCCCTGGGGGTGACAAAATCGTCTTAAGATAGGCCCTTAATAGTGATTTAAAAGATAAAATCCCAAGTACTTCACATAGAAAGGGGCGGCAAAATCGTCTTACTAGTGCGCCCTGTGCACCCCTTTTCCAGGGATCAGCTGCCTGTAACTTACTATCCAAGTAATGTTATGAAAAGCATTATGGCATAGGTTGGCTTATGCGTTTTGGCCAGTTTCTTTCCGGCAATTTTCCCGCGATTATATGGGAACAGGGCATCTTTTAACACCGAAATTAGTCATTTTGATGCCCAGGGACAACTCTGACTTGTTCGTCCCACCATACATAACCATAAATTCATTCTGGTAGTGGAGCCCCCTGAGGTTATGCTTTTAGCACCTGCTTAGTTTCGTCCCTAGAATTTTTAAAGTCTCACTACGTATGTTATACAAAACTATAAAAAAAAAATCATAATTTTGTCCGTTCACAAAAATCATTGTATTTACTTAATCCAGTGTCTCTTCTTGTTACGCACTGGAGTCTATTGTGAGAACTTAATCTCCTATTTTAATTTTATGGCTCATTCAAACAGTGCCTAACAAAGGACGATACCATAGAGAAATACAATAACAACAATAAGACACCGAAAACAGTACCAATTACAATTAATGATATTTATTTAAGTAATTACAAAACAAAAGAAAATATAATTACAAATCATCAACTTACAGAGTATTGGAAAATCTTGTACCGGTACACAATTAGTACTATGTGCCAATTAATAATGATGAATGATAAATGCTAATTAACACATATTATATAAGAACGCAAAGAATAATACACGTCTCGTGAAGTTAAAAATATCTATTTGAATCTCCGTCCAACTCTGTGCCTGTCAATCACCTTATATATGTGGGTCTACCGACGCGTCTAGAAACGCCTTATTTTTCTAAAACAATCGAGAACCTTCGACAAGATACTAGTAGACATACTAACCTTTTTTAATTGGAAGTCGGTAGTAAACAAGATACATCAAAGAGATTTAACCACGCCCACAACAAACGTTACTGTCTGCTAGGAGTCTATTGCGGGGTCAAAGAAAGTTCATGCACGTGGAAAAAGTGTACTACATAACACTTCTATTAATTTGAAATGTTTCGGTTCTGTCACATTAACTGGGGAGGGAGAGGAGATCGAGTGCCCCGAACGAAAATGTGGGTCATGTTTGGAGAGAGATCTCAGTAAGCTCCTCCCCATACAATTTTGATGAATTCAAAAAGATGGGATGCATTTTGGCGCAAACATGAATTAAGTTTTGCGTCATTCTACACTAAATCATCTAGTATTTTAACAGAATAATACAAATAATGAGAAAAATACTGCATTGTAGAAAAGGTTTATAGATTGTGTATTGCTGTTTAAAAATATTAAAAATAAAATGTATCTAAATGTTATAAAAAGAAGAGAGGAAATATTTACAAAAGAAAATACATCATATATTTTTTTAATCCGTATTTATCTGAGGGGAAATGAGACAGCATGAATTTCAAAACAAATGCAGTAATTTAAAAATTGTATTTGGAATTTCTAAGTACTCTAACTTTCTTCACTTAAATTACAAAAGAGTGAACGTTTGCTGCCTTTTGTACGACTCTTTGATTTACTCCACACCCCCCCCCCTTTTTTTTAAGAAAGTATTTAAAGGATTTTTTTTTTTTAAATTGATAATTTATTTTTTAAAGCTAGTACCGGTATGAAAAAAATAGAATTGATTTGAGAATACAACTTGTTTAAATAAATTGGAGTAACGGACTTGCCGCTTTCATTTTGGCAGCAAAATAAATAGCCTAAAATATTTCAATATTCAACTATAATATTTACAGCATAATGCTCTAGATGCGTGAGGCCCCCCTTTGAAGGGTAAGGCCCCCTTGAAGACTGAAGCCCTGGGCCAGTGCCCAGTGGGCCCATGCCTTAAGATGGCACTGGTGAAGAATTCTGTATTATGTCGCACTCTATTTAGAGCTTCGTAGCGTTACTCCACACGCAATCACACGCCAGTTAGGCTGCCATCCGGGCTGTCCGTGTGGGCCAGTTAGGCTGCCATCCGGGCTGTCCGTGTGGGCCAGTTAGGCTGCCATCCGGGCTGTCCGTGTGGGAAAAGAATAACACAAGTCATTGGTTCCAAGTTTGAACTCGCAATGTTGACAAAGTGATTTTTTTCCGATTTTTAGGATTCCTAGGGTATATTCGTATGTCATGTTCAAATGAAGGTTCGCCATCTTCGTTCAAACACACCGCTGTCAATTTTATTTGATTTTGGAGCACTATAAAGTCACTAGTCTTACTAAAGGTCTCGGCGGAATATCAGGCTGACGACAGGAATACTGTATCTTCATTTACTGCTGTCTGTATTTTAGCTTCAGCTTCTACTTCACTCAATATTTGGTATGATTGTGCGATTCTGTCATGTTATCGGGAAAACGGTCAAAATGTGTGGAAGGCATCGATCATTAGCAAAAATGGAAACCCTGTATTATTCTATCTATCACGTACAGTTGAGCGTATTGTGGAGGTTGATGGGAAAGTGGCTCAAAGTGTGAAGTCCGATGATAGTTTTGTCCTTGAATTTTTAAAACATAGGGACCATGACCTGGCACATCGATAATTTTGGCTCCCAGCGAGGCAAAGGACACCCCTTTGTTGTATAAGAATTATGAGCAAATGTTTTCAAGAAAATTGAAATGACCTAGATTGTTTGGATCCCACAAAAGTTTTTTGAAGAAAGTTGGGATAGGCAAGCTCTATCCCTTTTTCGTCGGTTGGTCTTTGCAGTTCAACTTTGCCTTTCCGTAAACGTCCTATCTGCTGGAACTTCCTTGACAAAGTTCATAGAACTGCAATATTGATATAAGAGATTAAGTGGTCCACAGTCATGAGCCGGAACACGATCTTCAACAAAATGTAGAGCTTCATTTCTTATCGTTTGACTCTGTGCGGCTGCTATTCTTAGCATAGTGTGGCGTTGACTCGCGGCGTTTGCTTTTCGTCTCCCGTGACCTTCGATTGTTAGTTCTTATCCTGTTCGCCAGTCTGTATACTTCAGCGCTTGCGTCTCGGAGTCGCTTAGGTGCCACCTGGCTTTGTCTTGCTCTCCATCTTCTCTGCCTTTCTTTGCTCTTGTTACGCTTCACTCTATGGAACTTTGGTTCCCATCCAAGTCTAGAGCAAAAAAGACACATTCAAGATATTCATATCATCACATCGAAGACTTTTGAAAATTGATTGTACCATAGTAAATGGGTCCTTAACTCAGCCCGCTTGGCCTTTTCATGGATACCCGTATGGATTTGATAAAAATGGGATTTGATAAAAATGGTATCTCACATTAGCTAAAAGCAACCCCATACTCATCAATGTAATCAGTAATCCTATTATCTTTATGATAATTTATTTTTTTCTTCATTTTTTTTCATTTTCTTTACCAATAAGAAATTTTCAGTTTGATTGTAGACATTTGTAACATTTTTTTAAAAAATCATCCGGCCCATAACAGTATCTGAAGGAAATGAATCAAACATTTGAGGACCCCTGTGCTATAATAAACTAGAGCTTAACCGGGTGCAGCTTTTTTTTTTTTACATCAGGCCCGGAAATTCGATAAAATATCCGGTGGGTCAAGTGTTACACACACAAAGAGTTAACTTCTCATTTTCTATAACATATGCCAGCCTATGAAAAATGGTTTTCTAAGACAGTCCTACACCTTACCTGCCGGCCTTTAAACAATAGTCCTAAAAACAGGCCTACGCCCTAACTGTGGGGTTTTAAACAATAGTCCTACAGAAGTCCTACACCATAACAGTGGCTCTTTATTGATTAATACTATAGTCTCTCCCACAAAGAAAAAATAACAATATACCTGAGTTCAACCGTAACGCATGGCGCTCGCTTACTAACAGTTGTTTTTTCTTTCCACTCAGTACTATATTATAAAACATGTGGAGTTGGGGGAGGGGCGGTTGTGAAGAGAAAGCAAGACACATCAAAAGCAAAAGATATATAAGAGATGTCTAAACTAAAGCATAGGTGAAGATGGTTAAAAATGCCCTCAATATTAGAAATGTTAAATTAACTGGATTTGTTGACAAATTTTAAATGAAAATATTTAAATATACTAAATGGATTAAGCAGCATTTTCTTTTTTTCTTTTTTAAAGATAAGTCCCTATTATTTCTATTATGAATTTAATAAATTTCATTTTGAACCCCTAAAAAAAATATCCCCTAAAAAAAAGTATCACATTTTAACGTTATAGATACAATGTAAATAGCTTACATACTAAAAATAAAATTTGTGGAGGGAGATAACTCCGGTTCCTAATGTAGGCCTACATCTTTTTAAAACATGAAATACGATACACATTCATAGATAATAGATTAATAAATGTCAAATCATTATGTCTCAATCACTGATTCTGAGTCTAATTACAGCAGAAGACATTTATCATTTGGGCAATTAACAGAATTTTAACTTTAATCTCGCAATATTATTAAACAACAGAATTTAGGTTCTTCCCAATAAATGTTACTATTACTACGAATACGAAATTCGTGAATAAGAGAAATACATAAATAATTATTTTATTGATAATAAAAATAATATTTTCACTCTTACAATCTGACTAAAACTAAAGGAAATAAAATAATTCTTTCATTCTTATATTACAACAAAAAGATGATGATAATTTTAAAGATATTATTAAAAATAAAGAAAAACAATTTTAAAGTTTAAAGAGGTTTTCTTTTTGGCTTTTGGATTGGTGTAAAAAAAAAAAAACTGCTTTGGACTGTGATACTCCTACTTTACTACTGACTGCTTATGCGTTTTAAAATACAAATTTCATATTCATGAGAGAAGTAGTAGTAGTAGTAGTAGTTAAAAGTAGCAGAAGTAGTTAAAAATAACCAAAAATAGTAGTAGTATTGGCTTACCGTGGTATTTAGTAGGTCTAGATTAAATAATTAAATACTCAACATTAATTACAGGTACCTTTGACTTTATCTGTAAAAGGAGATCTGAAATTGGCAAACCTGAATCGGCGTCTTATCATTATTATATTATTATATTATATTAGTATATTAAATATAGTATAGTATATTAATTAGAATTAGATTGATGAATTTAAAATGTCATAAAGCTATACTATAGTGTAGGTGGTTAGGACAGAAAACTTACTTGAATAACTTAGGATTATTCATAAAAATAAAATTAAGTCATAATCTCATGAGATCATAATTATAATATACTTTTTTAAATGTTGGATTTGGATAGGCTAAGTGAAGTCATACGTTGTCATAACTGTCATAACTAGGTCATAAGTTGCAATCAATAAGCTATTATTAATAAGTTATAAGAGTCTTACTCTTAATAAGACTAAAATAATTACAGACTGGCAGAAAGTTGAATATTGTAGGCCTATTTGTATAAATAATTGAATGTAAATGTATTCTGAATTTATTGTGCATTGAAATCATTAATTATATTTATATATTGAATATTGGTATAGATTATAAGTATAGTATAATAAATGATGACAATATCATTATATTATGTTTATGATTAAAATTAAACCTAGACATTTTTTACTAGTACTAATTAATTCTAGAATATACACTATCATCATAGAAAGGGTCTAATGAGAATAATTTGAATAATGAAGTAATTACCTATGCCTATATGTAGGCCTATAATGTGATTTCTGGTTGAGAACTAATTTTACCCCATACTTTCACTTCAGTCTTCAGATTTGTTATATGAAAATATGTCAGTCATTTGTCAGTGCGTGGATGGTGCATTCCTTGACCATAATTTATATGTGCAGTCATATTTAAAATGTGATTGCAAGAACACAGGTTACAAATTAAAAGATGAATTTTTTTCAGGTATAGTACCGGTAAATGATGTAATGAACATCAATTTTTAATTTAATTGTTTCAAACAATTATCTTTAAAATATAGCTTAATGAAGTATTTTAACTACCAATGGCATATCTTTCTTTTAAAGAGCTTGTTAGTTGCATATTAATATAGCTGCCTGTCATGGATATTATTATGAATGAGAGAACACATGTGAATGAATGCATTGAAGTGAGAGGAGATTTTGGGATTATACAGGAGTCGAATGAATTATGTTAAGATGTGATGATTTTTGAGACAGTGAAGTGAGAACAAATTATTAAAGATTTTAATTTGTATATTTTATTACGAAGCATTTACTGTGAACTTGTCTGTGTATATAGTCTATAAAAATATAGTTTAAAAAAAAAATTATTTTTGAATATTTTAAACATCTGAACAACAATGTTAAGTGACTAAATCAGTGGTTCTTAACCTTTTTGGAGGTACCGAACCCCACCAGTTTCATATGCACATTCACCGAACCCTTCTTAATAGGAAAAATAAAATATGATTTTTTTTTCTGACTTTTTTTGGAACTCCGCCGAACCCTTGAGACTGACTCACCGAACCCCTGGGGTTCGATGGAACACAGGTTAAGAACCACTGGACTAAATGAACCTGCAAAGCCTCAATATGTGTGCCTTATTTATAATTTATATTATTGATATTAAATGTATATTTCTATTTCTCATAGTTGAGTCACCATTCATGATGGACAGCCAAGCAGAAAGAATTCGAAGAGAAGCTAATTGTAAACATCTTGGCCATGAAGTGCCTACAAAACAGACTTCGGCAGATAAAAAAGTAAGTTAACAAAGACATATATTTTAATTTTTTTTTATGTACCGGTATACTGTTTGTTGATCGGTTTTTCAGAAAATTGTATACAAAACATGAGAAAAAAAGTAGATTCTTTATTTGATTTTTCATGCCTTTGATAATTTATTCAAGTATAAAGTTTAACTCAATAGTATTTTCAATTTCAACAATTACACCAAAGCAAAAATTTAAACTTAAAAAATAAAAAATGTTACTCATTATAGTGAAATGGGGTAGATCTTGCTTATTTCAGTGTGTCTTTTTTAAGTTCCTTAACTTTATAATTGACACTGATTTTATTTAAAGCAGAAATCACTGTAAAAATCATCCAAATGTAACAAAAGCAAAATCAAAACTCATACCGGTATCACATGTTATTATATAACGGTATATAAAGAGATCAAAGATCCCATTCTCATGCGATAAGATCTCAGGAGGTTGTTATAGATTTTCTTATATTTAAGGTATGACATATTTATGCAGACAGTACTATATGAATACTATGATGTTTATTTTACCATTTCACAATGAATTACTTGTGAATCCTTTTTTTTTTCCCAGAGAAGAAAAAAGGCTAGCAAACTAATGTCATTTGAACCTCACAATCAAAAAGTGAGTTTCCGAATATTCCTTTGGCAAATTTATTGGTAACCCCTTAAAGAATTTTCCAAAAAAACTAAGTTTTGAATAAAATCATGTTTACTTTATAAATATTTTACTAGTGCTTGTTTTCTTCTTTTTTTCTGTCTTTGGAGCCCACGATCAATTTATATATATATATATATTTATTTTTTTATTTTTTTTTTATTGCTCCTGGTGCTGAATAACTAAATTTTTATTTTTTAACTTTCCTGGCCAGTAGATTTATGATCTGATAGACAAGTGTCTGGTTTCTCTCATAACACAAGCCAGGGAGATAAATCATCTTAGAACAATTTCTCAAAAACAAGAAGTAACAAACAATGTCATTGCCAGAAAAGCTTCTCTGATTCAAGGATGTGGAGATTTATTCCAAACCCTTTGTGAACATTTTGATGAGATTTTTCAAGTCTCTGAAAACTATGATGCTGTTCTTCTTTGTGAAGGTACAAATTGTTAATACTTCAATTATAGTTCTTTTTAGTCATTATAAAAAAATTAAAAAATAATACAAATTGCTTTTAAAATCTTTGGTCGAAGAAATAACTAATTTTAACTCATAAGCTTTTTCTCAGAATTATTAACTGAATGAAATAAATAACTCCAACAAAGTTATGCTAACAAACAACAGAGATATTATTATGTCAGTAGTCATTTGGAAAATTTAAGATACTGTTTATACTGGTACGGTGTTTGTAATTATTTTATACTATTATTTATTTCTGGTCCATGAGTTTCCATGAATAAATTTGGATCCAAAAATTAATTTTCTTAGATAGAACTTTTAGGAATTATTAGTCTTTAAGAAGATATCAGATACATGTACCAAATATTCAACTCATATGTCACTTCACATCAAGCCATCTTTATTTTCAGGATTGTCTCTTTCAGCTGCTTCTGTCATTAACAGGTATGTGAAAAACTTAAAAAATCATTGCATTTTATGTAAAGTTGAGGATCATGACTTTATCATCCCTGGGAGATCTTCTTTTCTCACCTCAAGTTTTCAACAGTTCCTTACCAGAGGTCACCAGCTAATTACAGGTATAACAACTGTTTTATTGAAATATAGTTGTCTGAGATTTCAAGTTGTCTTGTTTTAGCGTTTTCTTGTTTTTAAAACTATCATCATTTTGAATATATTTTCTTTAACTAATATATTACAGATTTATAGAATATGTTGATGGCTTTAAAAACAAAGTTGATAAAAAAAGAATTGCAAAGAGGCCTCAAACAAGGAACATAAGATTTTAAAAATGATTCCTTTTTGAAAATTTTTTAGATGTTAAAATTTAAATCATCAACTTGAAAAACATAATCTTTTGAACTACTTGTACAATGAATGAAGGACTGTGTACAAGCTGCATGAAGGAAATAGTAGAAATTTTCAAGCTTCCACAGAATTTGTTATGCTATTTCTTTTGAACTGAAAAGTGTAGGAAAAGTATTAATGTTTCCTTAATTATTTGTTTCTGAGCAGTTGAAGGAGGGTATGACCTAATTGTCATTGATCCCCCCTGGACCAACAAGTCTGTCAAAAGGAAGAAAAGGTGAGGTTCATTTAATGTTTCTGTTTGCCCTATGGTGAACCAACTTGTTACAAATGTAGGGGAAAAGATCAGTTTTAAATTTAAATTCAAAGAAAGGATACAGTAAATGTAAAATTGTAATTTCACATTTATGTTTTAATCAGTAATCAAACATGTATTCATTCAGTGGAAAAAAAAAATTCTTTTAAACACACAAATAAAATATTTATAGACATAACAAAAGAACATATTTATCCCACTGTTAACAGAGCAAGGCATTGCTCTTGTTAATCCCACTTTTAAGGGATTGGGTTCAGTTTTAGGTCACTTTTTAAAGTCTAAAACTGCAATTAACCGATCTGTGTCTTGACTCACCCCTTTATATGAGTATATTTATTCATAAAAATTTGATTTGCCAGGAGCCTCCATTGATGCATGCTATTCTGTCCAGATTTGATTCTAATTCTCTGTTTACCCCACAGCTATAATATGATTGATGAGGAAGACCTAAAGCAGATTCCCCTCCAAGATTTGGCCAAAGTAAACGGTTTGATCTGTGTCTGGGTGACAAACAATGAATCATTGTTGCAGTTTGTCAAAGATGAACTTTTTCCTCACTGGTCAGTTGCGTGGGTAGCCAACTGGATCTGGATCAAGGTGATCTTAATTGAATACCTACCTAATGGGTGATTAGCAAGTGTTTAAGGAATTTTAGATCTGACTGCCAGTCCTTTTCCTCTAGTGGTTTGAAGTATATCAGTTTTGGGATTAATTCTGAATCCATATACCTTGACAATGTCGCCAGCTTTTATTTAGAAGAGTCTTTCTCTTGTCATCTCAATGTTTCATTTTATTATCGCTTGTTCCTTTTAGGACAAGTTTGTTTTGTCCCATGCTGTCTGCTTTAGCTTTGCTAATATCTTTGTCACCCTTAAAATTAAAGCCTCATTGAAAGCATTCATTATATAGACACAGACACACCCACAGCCTATTTCACAATTAGCATAAACAATGATTAAGTGGGTCAAAGTGTATTTCCACTGATGAACTATTTATAATTTTATATATAAATATATATATATATATCTTTGTCATACTAATGCTCAGAATTAATTATTTATGTAGATAATGTAAAAGTTCTGTTCTTGACTATCAATTAGGTAACTAGGTATGGGGAACCTATCTGCCAGATAAACACTCACCACAAGAAGCCATATGAACAAATCATCATTGGAAGAGTTCAGAGCTCAAAGCAAAACTTGTCTTCTATAAGCTGTGATAAGAATCAAAGGACAAGCAATAGGGAGGACTTTTTTAGGCAGTCACAAAATCCACAAATCTGTGTAGAATTAGAACAGGAACTTCCATTGAATATTGTGATTGATTGTATGGGTGACAGGGGTGTAAGAGATGAGCAACAAGATTTAAAACAAACCTGCCCAGCTGTTGCCCATGTGGGATCAACATGTGATCAAATTGTTTGCACAGATGGACGTCCAGAATGTAAGAGATTACAATCTGGTTTGCCAAGAAACAGTGAGGGGACTGATTCCTGTACTGAACAACATGGGGCACACAAGACTTCAAGCTTAAATATTCCATCATCATTTGTTCTATCCAGTGTGCCTTGTTCACTGCATTCAAAAAAACCTCCCTTGTCAGGTAGGGCAACAGAGCTTTATATTTTTGTTATATTTATAACTTACAAATAAAAATTTAATTTTAGTGGAGAATTAAAGTCATAAAAGCATGTGATAATGCCAACCTGATGTTGAAAATATATATATTTATATATTGTTGTAATGTTTTAAAATCCAATATAGATAAAATATAGATCATTAATTCATATATGACTACTAGAATCAGCTTTTTTAATTAAAAAAACCTCATTAACAGTAAGCTTGAAGGTATTTTTCTTTCAAAATATTTTCTAGATTTGTTGACATTTTATTTATTTATTTTAGTTGATATAGTGGGTAATTTTAATTATTGGTTGTCATCAGTACAAATGAAAGAGATCTCTACTATTTAATATACTTTTTTTGTATTTTAATTAAATGAATATATCAGGTACTAAGAACTGATACTGAGATAGTACAAAGTTTTACCCGACAGATTTTTTCATTTGCAGATATTTTAATGCCTTATTTGCCACTGGCTCCGAAAAATCTTGAGCTTTTTGCAAGGAATTTGACATCAGGATGGTGTAGCTGGGGGAATGAGGTGAGTTCTATAAATAGAAAGTTCTATTATATATGTGATATTTTAATAGTAGAGAATCTAATATTTACCTTCTACATGTCATTCATGATAGCCACTTTTCTCATTGATTGGGTTTCCAACTAACCTAAATCTCATGTTATATTTAACTAGCAATAACCCACCAAAAATGGTGCTGGCAATGCTTTAACTTTCCACCTACCAAAGTTACTTGACAAAACATACATTCAAGTAAAGCACTTTGTAAGAATTCCAATAAGTGCTTACTCCTGTGAATTTTATTTTGCGCACCTATTTAAAACAGCATTACAGTCATAAATACATACCTAGAGAATTATAATTTTTGATGTTACACTTCCTTCATTTTTAATAAATTTTTAGCATGAACATTTTCGACATGAATAAATAGTATCTGTTTCTCTTATTTTAGCCCTTAAGACACCAGCACTTGGACTACTATGTCCATTCCTCTGGTGAGAAATCTCATTAATTAAATCATTAATTACTGATACTGTGTATCAATGTTCTGTATTTTATTCTAAAAATTGATTATGCTTTTAAAAATCCAAGATGTATGACTGGCATTGTCAATGTTGTTAAGAAAAGTTGATTCTATTTTAGAATTAAAGATTATATTCTAGAAATGTTATTTGTTTTCATAAACTTTGTTTATTGGAATAAAATAATTTTTATATTTCATCCTGCCAATGTAGAGATTTAGCAAAAACCTTGTTTCATCCAGTTAAAGATGTTTTTGTCTTTTACAATGACTTTGTAAAACCATCATTTTGTTGGGTTGACGGTATTGTTAAGCTTTAGAATCTGGCAATTAATGTCAGCATATGGGTAAACCAACCATACACCTATGATTAACTTAACACAAACAAAATTAAAGATCAAGAACTGTCATCCCAGGTTGACACTAAATGAGTTCATTTATGGCTGATTTCTGCATTAGAGATGTTATTATTAGATGTCTTGTGTTTAAATTGTTATCATTGTAAAGTGTTGTCTTGGTTAAAGATGTGTATTTATTTATGTGCTGAAAATGAATAATGTATGTAAAATGTAATAAAAAACATCTCCATTTATTTGTATTAATAAAGAACCTTATTGATTGATAACTGGAAGTTTTGTAACTTTTTTAAAGTTCACATATTAGGCACTTTTTATCGACAGCAGTCAGAAAATTTGGCTTAAGTTATTACTGAGTACTTTCGGATTGCGCTATAAATAAAAGAATTATGTTTGTATATGTATTATGTATTATACAGAATGCTATGTTGGTAGAAATAGATATTATTAAATCAGATAAACATAGAGGTTACAAAGAAATAGATGGAATCAACGCTAAAACACTTCTTACTCGTGTGATTTCAAACTGAAAATAGCAACTGTAAAACTGAACCACCTTCGCGCTATCATGTCAAATACATTGACGCCAGCATGTAAAACATTCACTCTAAAGGTCTCCATTTGTGTCGGAGAGTGGATGGGCAGTAGGGCCTCATATAATTAATCCATTTGCTACTATTGCCGGCAAATGCGTCATATGACCTAGCAACATGCACATACCAGTGTCTCACAAGAAGTATTGTTTCTGTGTGAATAGCATTGTGATACTTTAAAAGTAGGGAGTTAGGGGACTGTTTTTTTTTTAAATGGATTTTTTAATCTCTTTTGGTTTATGAGCTACAAAATTGTAAGTTTGGATTAATATTTTTTAGTTTGATCATTGATTGCTGGTTCAGTGTCTAATTTAATACAGATATTCATTCAACAATACTGGTACGGTAATGGAGTTGTGTCAGATGTTGTGGAAGATTTTATTTTAAAAATTCTGAAAACAAAAGACTTTGAAGAATGATACTAAGAGGGTTCTGATGACAATGTCATGCACTGTCATTGAGTGTTGGTCAGACAATTTGACCAGTGTTACTGATTAGATTGAAAGATTTAAGAGGGATAAAAGTTTTCATTGATAGCTTTCCAGTTAACAGCAGATTATTTCAGAATGTTTATGTCAACTAATGAAAATGAAATTGTACAGCTTAATGCCATGGTGGTGATGGATATAAACAGATATGATATGCCTCTGAAAGCCATCACCAAATGTTGATACCCATATCTGGCAGAAAATGTTAATGTTACAAGAGTTCAACTGATGACAAGAAGGACAGTGGTAGAACCAGGGCAACAACTAGCTGTACACAATTTACAAGGGTAACTGTTTTTCAAAATTTCAAGAGATCCTAAAATTAACCCAAACCTAATATTCCGTAGAAATTTAAAAAAAAATGGATGTATTATTTTTACAGCTTAAAGTATAGTGAATAAAAAGTATGTAAAAACTATACATTTTTTGAAAATGTCATTCATTTTTCCAATTACTAATTCTTGTTTTTAGTGATCCAAACAATTATTTTCGTAACATTGGTGTGCTTGTACTTAAGAGATATCGCCCCTTTGATTAGTACTTCAGGGGGTGTTTTAGGGTTAGAGGTCTGTAGCCTGTGGGTTAAGGGCTTCAAGGAAAAATTTACACTTTCAATTTTGAATGCAGGGGCCACAAAAATAAAAAAATTGCAAGGGGGCCTCCTTAAGTCATGTTGTGGCCCGGAAGGGGGTGGGAAAGTGGTTGGGGGGAGATGCCGGCATACTATAGTATATAGCCATTTTAATGTTTAGGCTACTGTTTCTATAGTCATTTTTAACATAGTTGTTACTATTCTAGTGTCTCTGGTTTTTCATTTTTATTTTACTTTAACAATTTAAATAATGTACATGTTGTTAATAATTGTGAAGCGCTTAGAGCTTTAAGGTAAGCGCTAGATAAAAATGCCTAAATAAATAAATAATATGACCTTATTTTAAATTTGTTACGATACTCCTTTTTCAAAAGTTGATGATACTGTGTATAAATGTGTTGTTGGCTATTGATAAAAAAACCTTGCTATAGTGCGATAGTTGGGACCCATAAAATGCTATTGCTTTATAATGGAGTCGCATCACTGCAGGGTTTCACAAATAGTTTGAAATAACGTTGGGTTTTTTAAAAGTAGGAAGATAGGTGATTTCATTTTAAATGAGCAGATTTTTTAAATCTCTTGTGGTTAGTGAACTATGTGGTGTTCAAGTTGGAATAGTTTTAATGGATTTGTGATGGTGTGGTATGGGAATATTTTTTTTATACACTGTTTGTACTGGTACTTTGAAAAAGAAACTTTGTATAAAATTTCATTCTCTAATGAATAAAAGAAATTTTGGGAGTGATATGTTCAAATTCACATTATAGTTTGGGCATTTTTTTAGCGGGGTTCCACTGTATTTGGTAAGTAATGAACGTCTATAGCTTACAAACAAAATAAAAGCTTATTCATCCTTCGCTCATGGTCAATATTAAAAATGTGTTTCAGCTCGAGTTCCGAATTCTGCCAGCTCACTTCTTCTGTTAACAATAATCAACTTCGGGAAAAAACTGTCTTGGCCATAGTGACCCAGTTAGTCTTACAAGGAGTGATTATGTAAATATTATTACATTTTTTCATGATGCTGCTTTGGAGTAATGATAGAAAAACAATGACTAAATAATACATTTAAATTGTCATTGTAATTTTAGTAATCATTTTTTGAGTTTCACGGGAATGATATTTGTAAAACTGCATTTTGTACGACATAATCATGCATCCATCCAGTTGAATGGAGAGAAACAGCTGATGACATTGAATTAGCTCTGAAAGTACATGACATTTAATTAGCACTGAGAGTACATGACACAGAGTGCAAGAAACTGCAAAATGCTTTAACAAAATGGTTACCACTGATATTCTTTTTTTGCGAATGCTATACCATTGAATTATATCAAGCAGCTGATCTCAGATCTACATACCAAAGAATTATAACATGTAAAGGAAAACACATTGTCTTAGCACTCTTTGGTACAACCAATATTAAAAATTATGAGATCTGATTTAGTGTTTTCTAGCAAGATATATAAATGCCTCTTTGTCTAGCTGTGTTTATTTTAGTTATAATTATAAATCTTTCTACCTTTGATATGATTTAATATCAAAGCATTTCTTTACATTGTAAAATTCATTTGGAAAATGTTAAAAGCTAAGATCAGGTTGATGTATGGGGTGGTGGTATTACATTTTGAAAAAACAATTTTTGCAAGACAGCATTGTATTGTTTGTTTTAGCAACACACATTGAAAAAAGAAAGGAAAGAAGAAATGAAAAAAAAAATGCTGAAAAGGGTTTTATTCATCCCTATCCATCTTATACAAGTTGTCAAGCAATGAGGATTACAAAGCTGAAGTGTGGGTAGATAGCAGGATAGATAGGTTAGTTTCTATAATACAAGTCACCAATAAAGTTATATGAAGTGATAATTAAAGGAAAACAAGTCTAAAAATTTCATAAAACTTATTAAATGTTGCAGTTATTTTAAATTTAAGTCTTGATTCAAGTGACACTAATTATTTTAATAAAAAATTAGCCCATTCAATTACATGTTTCTAAAATGTAATTCTTGTTTTCTGTTTCTTTTGCAACATAAATGCTAAATAACCAAAGTTAGAAGAATTCACGTGAATTAGAATAATAAATGTACTAGTATCTGTAGTAAAATAGAAATCTACTGTTTTTTGTTTTTTTTTTAATAAGTTTTTCAAATTAAGTTCTGTAATGAAACAAAATTAAATTAAATTATTACATTTTGGTTTAAAAAATGAAAATGTTTAAACAAGAAGGAAAAAAAGAAAAAAGAATACATGAAGAAAATTAAGATAGTACATTGAATAAGTGCAAAATTTGATTTACAAAGGGAGGTAAAAACCAGATATCAAACTGAAAACTTCAAAGTGCAAGAGGAAAAGTTACAAGACTAAAATTAAACTAGAAATGCTTTATGTTAAGACTGCAATATAAGGAGAAGCCAAACATGATCTATCTAAATACACATGTTCTACAATAATCAAAAAGAGCAAATATCATTCATTCAAACTCCACAGCAAAAAAAAAAACATACAAAATTTTAGGTCAATTTACAAAATGATCTGTTATTTTTAATAATAATATCGTAAAAATTTGCACTTTAATTAAAAAAAAAAATTCATGTTTTTTTCCTTTTAACTTAAAAAAATAACCCTTAATAATACATTCTCAATAAGTACACACTCAAGCACACACAAAAATTATGTTCATAATTGAGGTGTTATAAATGTAAAAAAATAAATATATGTAACTTTTAAAATGTAACACTGGGTACACCATATAAATGCTGTTGAGAAATATAAAGACACAATATTAATATATTTGCAGTCTTGAAAATCAAACCATGTTAGTTTTCAAGTAAGCTAGTAT